CTTCCCATTTAAATTGGCAACCGACGACAAAGTGGTATTCATCTTCATCTTCCTTCTTGCAAATCAGGCATGTTGATGAAGGATATTTCAAGGGATCCATTGTATATAACCTTTTTCGATGCAACAATTTGTCATGGAGTAACCTCCACCAAGGTGATCTTGCTTCGTGTAGTATCGGCAGCTTCCACCACATGGTCCATCTAGACTTTGGAATCATTTCATACCTCCTACTTGACAAGCGCATAGGGGGCATCAACAGTGGCTTGGAATCCTGGTCTCTCCAGTAGTTCCGAATGTTACTTGTTGTCCAGGCAGACATTTTGATGGACTGGTACTCCTTGTTCTGCGTCACCCAGTACACATTGGCAATTAGTATAAATAACAATCAGTACATCAATCAACAGAATTTCAGGAAATAAAAGTAACTCACTGAATACAAAAAAAAAAAAGTCCAAACAGGCTTCCATGACCAATGGTGGGCCGTGCCCCCAAAAACCAGCATTCAATTAAGAGGTAATACTGGCAATCACCTTGGAGTGTATATGGCCTGAATACCAAAGAAAGAAATATATGGAGTGCCCGCTGGACAGCGGTTTTTCACAACTCAAATGAATCGTTTGCCTTCAAAACGATAGTCCACAATATGGTTTACTCTCTACGCAGCAGATTTCTTGACAATTATTGCATCCGGTACAGTGCAACCTGGAGCTACTGAATACCCAAAAATGAAAAAGAAGATGCGTGAAATGAAGCCCGTTTCCTCGAGCAAGTATGGACTTTCTTATTCTTTCTTTTAAGAGATTCTTTTTCATTCAGGCGCTTTTTTATTGTTATTTTTTAGGAATGACTTGGAACATCCTGCGGCGATTTCTGAGTTTTATGAAGCCAAGTCTCACCATGAAGCTAGAAGATAGCTGATATGTTCTTTTTGCACCATTTCTTGGGTTTAATGAACTGAAAATGACTTACCAGTTCGAATCAGTGATCGTTTCAGCCGTGCTGCGAGTCGTTCCTGCTTGCACTGCAGTTATCCATCCATAACACGCCTCCCTTTCCTATGGTTGAAGGCCTCGATCTGTGGTAGGCTGGATAACTGACTCAAACCGTTCAGCATGGTCTTCAAGTATTGATTTACTCATTTATTGATATTCTGAGGAATTCAATAGCCTGTAGCACTACAAAAAGCAGTAGCCTGTAGCTACCACTCGCAGTTAGGTAAAGTAAAGTTGCATATATACAACAATTCACGCAAATCAGAGTACGTCTATGCGGTAGCCATGAAACGTTACCTTCTCAAAAAAGGACAGAGCCTGCAACACCCTCAGACCTCACCGCATTCATGCTCCTCGTCGACCTTTCCGTCTGTAACCTTGGCCAGTGACTGTGGAATTTCCCTCCCATGGAGTCCTGATGGATATCTGCCAGTCTATTGAGCATGAGGTGAAGAAGCTTATCATCTTAGAAAACCGACAGGTACCTCCCAGAAGGCATGGGCATTTTCCCATTATACCCGGTCTCTCCTTCAGCTTATTTGCCTGTCTTGTGCGTCGGATTGATTGTAGCAGACTTACCTTCCAACTGGAAGGTGCTAACTCTTCTGATTACTATGCCCGTTGGCGCCAGCCAGCTATTGCTAGCATCACCCATACGATGTTTGGCTTAGTATCTGCGTATGCTACCGCTCTGACCGTCGTTTCTGTTCCTCTTGGAATCTCATCTTCGTCCGGTGCTGATTCCTGAGCGACACTCATCAGGAAGCTCGTGATGCCATCAAGTCGTTTTGCCTTCCGTTCGTGGAAGTGTGTCCATTTTTCCCTTGAATTTACAAGCTCTTAGCTAGTTGCTCCGAAAATAGCCTAATAAAACACGTATATATAAAAAAAGTAAAAGTGTGTCCTGATGTCCTCTCCTGGATCTCGTTTCTGATCGCCATCGCCATCGTCTTCCCCCCGTTCTTAGGACCGCTCGTGTTCCCTTTTCCCGCCGCCTTCCTGCTGAAGAGTTTGTTACTGGTTGTTGCCGCATCCAATACAGCCATTCCTTTCCCCACTGTTCTCCATTTTGCTCCTTAGCGTTGGTGGCTGTTGCAGTCGCCAACACATTCACTGCTGGCCATACCGCGGACGCTTCTCAATATCCACACCAAGATTCTTTTCTACTTTGTCAGGGCAAGGATATAATACAAAGAGTCATCTACAACGTGCAATACTGCATGACTGCAAATACATCCTTCAAATGCTGATTACTGCCAGAAGATTTTGTTCTTTAACTCCACCTTTCAGAGACTGAAAATCATTGGTATCTAAATCCAGTCTATTGCCAATTCAACAACACATCAACATCAACATTGAAGACCTCAGATCTTAGCAATTTTAGCTTAGCGACAAAGGGTCTTGAGTCTGATGTAATCCCGTGAGAGAAATAGAGGCTCGAAGGTCATTTCAGAGCATTGCTGTAAACTTTCCTACTTGAGTTTAATACTCTACTCTAATGAAAATAAAAATAAAGGATGTGGTAATGAGCCTATCCGCTACAAAATTATATAGCGGATTAATAAGTTCAGTGGACGTTGCAGCATATTCTCGCATTTGAAAATATCTTCAACTTCTGTACGACTTTGATTCCTCAAGGTCAAACATCTTTGCCAGAATTCCGGAATATTTTGTACTTGAACGTTTGGGTTCTTTTACTCCAGGGTCTTCAAAAAATGCGATCATTAGATGAATCGAAATGAAAAGTGTCTTTTGCTGCCCGAAGTAGCTATTTGGCAGCCATTAAAAATGAACCTGCCATTTTTTCGATAGACCTGTAGTGCCAAAAGATCAAAGGTAGAGCGTCAAGCGGAGTACTAAATCTCGAAATGGTGCACATGTCAGTGGGAAACCAGTGGTATGCTCAGTACTAATGGACATTCATCAAGAAGATAACTGCATTTTCTGCAAAATTGCTCGCAAGGAAGCACCATCGGTACCAGTGTATGTGATATCTCTAGAGTTTTGTTCACTTTCACTCCATGAAGCTAATTTGCCTCCTTCTAGATACGAAGATGACCACGTTGTAGCTTTCATGGGTTGGTGCTACTTGTCTTTCGTTAATCAGTCTTGAATTTTTCTGCAGCTAACCTCTATTTATGTGAATGATTGCAGATATTGCTCCAGTAACTCGAGGTACAGAAGAGAACATCTACCCTTCATTACCCTCAGATTAGCGTACTAAAACCTTCGTAGGTCACACTCTGGTCATTCCGAAAAAGCACTATGCTACACTTGATACTATGTCTGCCGAAGACATGGCAAGGATTGGCAGTGTTCTTCCTCGTATAGCCAAAGCAGTCATCTTAGGCTGTGATACTAAAGACTTCAATATCATGCAAAATAACGGCAAGCGAGCTGGTCAGGTTCGTGTCATTGTATCCAACGCACGATGTCATGCTTATCACTAACCTTGGCAATAGGTGGTCTTTCATGTTCACTACCATATAATACCACGATATCCGACTGAAGGAGCTCTATTTGGAAAGCAAAGGGTTATACCAAGGCTTAAGCTGACAAAAGAAGAATATGGGGCCATGCAAGCCAGTATCAAGTCACATCTGTAAGGGTGTAACTATACTCCTGCCCCTTTACTGAAAACTGAATCAAGGCTGTATATTTACACTATGAGTGAAAATTTGTAAGATTGTAATAGAGATAGAAACAGATTTTATTTGTACAATGGAGGTTTCGAATGAACTTCAAAATATTCTCTGCTCAGCGTTATTTAAGTGCCAAGTTCTTATTTGATCAGTATCCATTTCTAATACACAGTGGCCATTTGGTAACGAGATTCTTCAAAATCTTTGATCTGCTGATCGTGTAGTCGATGATGGCGAGCACCATTACGCAACCTGGAAGCATAGGCTGAAACGACAGAAGCAAAGTATATCTAGATTTGGGAAGAGAAGGGGGAAGGGAAATAAGGATCACACCGAAATATACGATAGATCACCACACACAACTTACTTGTACGATTTGGATGACGAAGACAACAACACCAAATGTAATCAGCATGACTTTGATGGCTTCTGAGCATTGGTCGTATGACATGCTGCCAGCATTGAGTGTTCCTGGGTAACTGACAGGGTGGTAATAAGGGCTGCTGTTGAAAGTTGCGGTAATGCTCGATTCAGGGTGGGTCATGGAGACGAATCCAGTCGCTTCACAAGACTCAATGATATCCTCACGGTGAGTAGCTATCAAAATGAGTGCAAGCAGATATTTGATGATAGAAAGTGCACAAGCGATCCAAACGGTGATGCTGAAGACTTTTGCAAATTTGCGCGATGCCTGAAATTTAAGGAGGTTTGTCAGACATCAGGGCAGTAACAAGAGCAACCAAAGGTTAGTAAGTGCCAACTTACCACGCAGGAGCCTATCATACCAAACAGACCTCCACAAGCGATGAGGAGTGTAAAGATCTGCTGGATGATGAATATTGCTCTACTGGACTGACTGGCATATGCAAAGATACCTAAGCAACGGCGTTAGTACTTAAACTCGTATAGACATAAAGATCCAATGTATTATATAATGATTGCATACTGTTTCTACCCAAAAATCCACTGGTTGCTTCAAATAGATTCGATACCTGATGAACACGACATTCAAGTAACAAAGCATTAGTATTTGATGGCGTCATACATATATTGAAGTTCTTTCTGTTTACATACAAAGAACCAAAGGGCAATAATGAATGTTCCTGCCCTTAATGGTATACAGCAACAGCATTGCTCTAGTCTCATTGGCGCAAAAGAGGGGAGAAAGAGAATAAGTATAGGACAACGCAGGTCAGCAGAGAAAATAAAAAGATGACTTTATTTTTGGCTAATATTTAATCTCCGCGTAATTGGAGGTGGGCATTTAAAAGTTAGGACGCTCAGAAAAATGAGCAGGATCCTCACCATGTTGCGAGATGTATTTTTCATGTTCTCTAATCTGATGACGGTAACTGGTAATCAATGTATGTACATCGATATCAACATCGTCGTTAGGCGCAACTCTTTGTAGTGCGTCGATGGCAATATCGAATCGGGAACAACCTACCAAGACGTATATGGTGTTAGCGCTAATTCTGGGCTTCCCTTTTTCGTCGCATTTCACGCAGCGTTTAATTATATCGCTCAAAACTTACCATTCGCAGTCAACATCCTGAATGGTGTTGTGGTTGTACCTTCTTCCTTATATCCGTGAATAGACATTCGATCCGGAACGTTGTTCCTCTCAAAAGTAAGGCCCTTGATAACGCTGTTATAACCGTGGAAGTTGAAGATGATTGGCTGCTGATCTCCAAAGACAGATGCAAACTCCGTTGTGGATAGAGCATGAGGATGGTCAAACCCAAGAACCATTAAGTCTAGTAGAAAGTAATGAGATGGAACGTTTTAGCTTAAACTGATCATCCTCCTAACTGCATTGTAGCGGGTCTTACCTGTAACATTGACTACACGGACTTTAAGGTTCGGACAATCTTTGCGTAACATAGCTGCTGCTGCCAAGACTTCAAACGTTGTTTCTACACCACATCCAACCAAGACAACGTGCGGATGCCTTCCATGATCCGAGCTGTAAGATTTCCAGATAGAAACGCCAGCTCGACAATGAGTTTCTGCTTCCTCAGGATTCAACCAGACAGCTGTCTCATGCTTAGAGCTTATCATCAAATTGATGTAGTTCTTGCTTCGAAGACAGTGTCTCAGCGTGGAGACCATACAGTTAGCATCCGGTGGTAAATATATGCGAATCATATCTGACTTCAGATTTATCAAACTGTTAATGAATCCAGGAACTTGATGACTGAATCCGTTGTGTTCTTGCCTCCACAGAGTACTAGTCTAGAGGTTAAGCATGCGTTCATTTAAACTTTAGTGAAACCTATTCCTTATGACGACAAGTGCATAGAGTGGAAACTCACTTCAATGTAATTCAGGGACGCTATGTCGGACCTCCACTTTGTTTCTTTTCCCATTTTCACAAATTTAGCATACTGGATGACCATTGTAGTCACAATACCGAGAAATCTGTGAAACATATCAGTTAAGCATTCATGTTTTATACTCAGCATGTAGCAGTATATATCTTACGCTTCGTAGCTCGGAAACAGTGCAGTTCGTCCGGTGAGTGTATATCCTTGAAGAAGACCTTGGCATGTATGCTCGGATAAAATCTCGATAATTCGACCATTTTTGGAAAAAACATCCTTGTCCCACTATAGTTTCGTTGACATTGTTAACTGAGTGCTACGTGAGGCTTGTATAAGGTCTGTTCACTCACCTCAAAAGCTCGGCCGGTGACACCGAACACTGCGTCGAGCTTGTTGGACATCAATTCGTCCGGACAAAATATTCTAAATGTCTGTGGATTACGCTCAATGACACTTGCTAAAAATTTGCCAGATATCTTCATTGGGCTCGCGTTGGCATCTGAAACACCGAAATCCTTCCAATCTGGAAGATCAAGCGGTTTGTATCCATTATAGGAGTCTGCGATCATACCAAGTTTGTAATCATCTTCAGGGAATACATCGGTCACATCCTTCTTCGGAAGACTGTTTTCTGAAAATAGCTCATCTAGTTTGTAGCTATGTAGCCACTGTTCCAACAGCTCCAGTTCTTCTTTGTCTGTATTAGCCTTTGGAAGAGGTACTTGATGTGCGTGAAAAGTTCCTTCAATTCGCTTTCCATGTGCTTCTTTAGGACCAGTCCAGCCTTTAGGTGTTCGTAGAACAATCATTGGCCAACGAGGTTTATAAATTGGATTTCCTGAGCGAGCCTTTTCTTGAATGGTATGTATGGTCTCTATTGCCCATTCCATTGATGCCGCCATGTCCTGTTGAACATCTTGGAGGTTTACACCAACAATTCTGCATTGATATCCGTATCCAGTGAACAGAGCCACCAGTTCATCATCGCTAATCAAAAAAAGTGCAGTTAGCTTATGCTACAACATGCGAGGCACGGCACGATGTTTACCTCATGCAGCCGAAAATTGTGCGCTCAGAAATTTTGAATCCGTTCAAATTGAGGATAGGTAGAACAGCACCGGAAGTAACAGGGTCGAGGTACTTAATGGCATGCCATGCTGTTGCAGTTGGGCCGGTTTCAGCTTCTCCATCTAGAAATTTTCAAACAGAATTTTGTATGTCAGAATTTTGAAGGACCTGGTAAAGCCATTCAATTCGTTTGATTCTAACCTCCTACAATGCATGTAACAACCAAATTAGGGTTGTCCAATGCCGCACCAAAGCTGACGGCTAGAGCGTATCCGAGCTCTCCACCTTCGTGAATTTGACCAGGGAGTTCCGAATTTGTATGGCTAAACAAAGTCACTAATTAAACATTGAATTTCGTCATGCTTTCGCCATTGGTATTACTTACCTTGGAAAGCCGCCAGGCCATGAAAATCCTCTTATCAAGTTAAACAACCCCTTCTCGGTCAAAGAATATTGGGGATAGAATTTGGACAGCGAGCCTTCGAGATACAAGTTGGCAAGATTGGCCGGAGCACCATGACCTGGGCCGGTCACTAACAACATACGTTGATTTTGACTTTTGATGATTCTCGTACAATGTGCGTATATCAAATTGATAGCTGGGCAAGTGCCCCAGTGACCAAGAAGCCTCGGTTTGATATCGTCGAACGTCAACTTGTTTCGTAGCAAAACATTGGATTTCAAGAAAATCATCGCCCCCGCCAAAAAATTGGTGGCACGCTGTAATTTGATATATGGCTTAAGGTCATCCTTGGATACCCTAGAAATGTCGACCTTAACAGAGTACTGGGATGTATCCAAATCTACGGAGGTTAAAGAGGTCATCAGCGTGATAAAGGTGAAAAAAGTATGCATCAGATAGCAAACGGCTGCTGAAGTAATTTATGTCATGGCTGAGATTGAAAATAAGTCAATTGACGTGAGCAATGCGCAATAGGCTGATATGCTGGTAAACATCGGTGTGAAGTAACTGGAGAAACCAAATTGAACGCATTCTGATATCAGCAGTTTAGATAGGGGGAACGTTTTAGTGCATAGGTTTTATTCATGATGCTAATAATATTGTCTTTACGCCCATCTATCCACTCACTATGGCGGTAGCAACTTGGTATTCTTCGTTAGTGGCCACGACAAGAACCTTGACCGTACTGTTAGATCCACTGATGTTCACAGGGCCACTTTTCAGTTGATCACTGCTGAATCTATTCTTCTCACTATCAATTTTGCAACCTAAACAGTTCAAGCGTTCCGCCACCTTTGCACGTACAATATCCGAGTTCTCTCCTATCCCGCCAGTAAAAATGATAGCATCCACGCCTTGCAGTGCCACGAAGTAGGCACCAATAAAGTTTTGTATTCTGTTAACAAGAAGATCCAAAGCTAGACGAGCATCACTGTCAGTCCTCTTGGTGATTTCGGATAGGTTGGAGGTGCCACAGATGGCAGCTATCCCACTCTCCTTGTTCAAAACCTTTTCTGCCCTGGATAATTCTTCCTTTTCAATGTGTTGCGGGTCGGAAATGAAGTGGAAAATTGCACTTGGGTCAATATCACCAGACCGAGTCCCTCCTGGTAAGCCAGACAACGGTGTAAGACCCATCGAGGTGTCCAGACTTTCGCCATGTAGAATAGCGCATACACTACTTCCACTTCCAAGGTGAAGACTGATAAGTTTCGTCTCCTTTAGCGGTTTATTTAAGCACTTGGCAGCTTGTTCTGCGACGTATGAATGAGAGAGACCATGAAAGCCGTATTTACGAATATTCTTTGACTTGGCGGCTTCCTTCGGAACTGGGTAGGTGTAAATGTACTCTGGGATGGTTTGGTGATACATGGTATCAAAGCAGGCAACGTTCTCACTATCTGGGAGTTCTTCAAGAACCAGTCGGATGACCTTTACAGCTCTGCTGTTATGCAAAGGGGCCAAATCGTTAAGTTTATCCAGTTGTTCAAGTTCCTTCTTTGTGATTTTTGCTGGAGCTCGATGATTTCCGCCATGGACGATTCTATGGCCGACGTACTTAATATCTTTTGTCTCGCAAACGTTTTGATCGGTAATAAGTTGTAATATGTATTTGACAGCTTGTCTGTGGTCATTTATTTTTTCACACTTTTCGACTTTCTGGTCACTCTTTGATACGGTGCCCGTGAACTTGCTTTGGTCGGTTCCAATTTCGGACACATTACCATATGCTGCTTGCGAAAGATCCGGATAGGTAAAAAGTTTAAACTTGAGACTGGAAGAACCAGCATTCAACACAAGTATTACGGGTGACATTGTAGGGGAAGAGCTGAATGGGGTTTAAGTGAAACGCTGGTGCAAAGAGTGAAGACTGGGAGAAAAATTGACGACATTAAAAAAATAATTCTGTCATTTACGTCATTGCAAGGTAAAAAAAAAAGCGCTTGTATTGAATAAGTTTGTATACAATATGGGTATGTACAGTACAAAAGTCAAACGAATGAAGGTATTAAAAAAGAAATTAATTTGATTTACAATGAAAGAGAGTGGGGGGGGGGGTTTCACATGTATGAAGTTCCTTGTCTTTGTCGATGAATGGCACCAATGTAGCCACTGAAGGTGCTACCTGGACTGGGTATATATCGACGAGCTTGCTGAGCAATTTCGGCATCGACAAAGGTCAAAAGCCATCGATCAATGCTTTTATATTCATCTATGGAGCTGGCTTGTTTCAGTTGTTCAAGCCATGATTTGGAGAAATCACTCAGAGTTACTGCACATGGGAATTCGTTGAACACCGCAGCCAAGTCTTGTCTCGGATCTCGAGCGTCAGTTGCCACAAAGATGATAGAGTATTTTCTGCCAAGGTAAGCATGTTCTTTGCACCACTGAAGTCGGTCATTCGTATCTACTTGCAGGTCATTTGTTACAGGTTCCCGTTGGTCTCCGATTATCCGGTGAAGACGTTCTATCGCCATCGGAATTCGGGATGCAAGTGTCCTACGGAACACACCATCACCAGTCCGTATGTGAATGCTAACATACTGGTCGACGCCTCCTAGAGTTTCCACATATTTGAAGGCAGTCTTTTGTACGTCGGTATTTCGGAAAACCAGAATCTCTTTGATTGCATCGCGTTCAGTAGCATCGGTAGTCACACGACCTTCGCCAAAGACGCCATATAGGTGTAGAACTTTATGGGGTACTCTAAAGTCATCCATAGAATAGTGAGCCAAATATCTTGGGTTATGGCTTAGTGGAAGATTTTGGCCACGAAGATCCCAGGCATAAGGATGAAGGTCTGTCATCTTGTAGATTTCATCTTCCTTTATGCCAAGACTCGCTTGTAAGGCTGTTAATGACATATCTCGTCGCTCTATATATTGAACTCCGAGTTTCTCAGTCAAAAGTGGCAAATCACAGGCCCAGGACCAGCGTAGCATGGCAAATCGGTCGTATCGTTGGCACATTTCGTCATCATGGTCCTGAGATGTACTGCACTCTAACCTTCGAACTGGGTCAGTTAGATCTGCCAAAGTATCCCATAATTTGCCCTCCCCTTGCCAGCCTTCTACGTGACCAAGGAACAAAGGCGGTATAAGCAACGTTCGGTTCAAGTGAATGGCCAGGGTCACGGCATTCACCAGCTCCGTTCGTTGGTTGGCAAAGCCGGAATGTGGAAGGTAAGCAAGATATTTTGTGTTGTCGTCGTCGACTGGCTTATCGAGCTTATCAGGAATGAAGTCGATTTGAACGTGTGACGAACTATCAATAGGCATGGTTGGATATGGAAGTGGTCGAGTCCTTGCGAACAAGACGGTGAGGGTTAATGCGCTTAATGTCAATGGCAGTAAGACGAGTGAATATCGCATGCAGGAGGACTTCATTATAAAAGGGGAGCAATCCCTATGGCGAAGGGGGAAATAGCGGAAGAAATCGCAAGCAAGTGGTTGTTTTCCAAAGTTCCTTTTATAATTTTTAGGCTATTTTGGGTCCGACCTTGGGATATTGAAACTCAAAGCAAGGCAAAAACAAAAACAACACTTTTATGGCAGCACCACCACCACCACCAGTCCACCAGCCTGCAGAACGTGGTGGAGCTGCACTAAAAGTGGCCGACGCTGCGCCCCCAGTCTTCCGCAGGTGATCCCTTCCTTCAGAACAGAAGCACTATAGCACGCAGTGAGAGAAATGCTTTTATAGCTTGGATTCTCAGCTGATAGAGGCTCAGAAATCTTGGAAGAGGTGAGTGTATAAAAAACTGATCAGTTCCAGGTTTTGCTATGCCCGATAGTTATTTTTAAATTTCTATGGCCCACGGCGGAGGTGACACCATTACCATATTTGGATTCCAAGCAAAGGAGCGTCTTCTGCGGGCAAATTGAGTCCAGGGCCCCTAGCCCGGTGAAGCATGCTGACGCCTATCAATTTAATAAAATTAGCGCCCAGGTTGAATTCATTGGTTTTATGACAATATCTGCGAACAAAAGGTTGGTTTGCTGATTTCATCATCTCCGTGTTTGTAATAGAATCCGCGTGATGTCAGTTCCATGAATGAGGAAATGTTCCATTGATCGAAGATAAACCTGTCCTTTTCACCATAGTGCCTTTGAACGGCTGACCGTGTAAGTTATCATCGAGAGCTTGAAATACTGTTCGAGTCCATCATCATGGAGAGCCATGCCTTCTGCGTACATTGATGAGTCTCCGCCACAACTTCATCAACAGTACCGACGCGAAGCGAAGTTGATACCACACTGCACTAGCCAGCCATCTGTGTTACGCGTCATATCATTGACTCCACCAAGTGATCCGATATGCGCCAACCAATCAAACGTCGAACCAGTCCAACAAGCTTTTCACCTCAAAATCGCACAATAGAACCGATTTGATTATATATTCATCCCTTTTAGACGCATGCATACACTGACTAAGAAGAACTTAAACATTTGAAAACGGTGGTAGAATTTTGACATGAAAGGGGTACAGCGTTCTCATTAATCTCTCCACCCTATCTCAATCCCTTGCAACCGCACTCCTGAAGAGGATGATTGATTCTTGAGACAATGTGTGCAGCAGATTGTAATATGGTGGTCGCCTCAATTGTATTGATCAGCCAAAACCATCTTGTTGGGGCACCACAGAAGGTTTAATTTTCTCCACACAAGCTGACGTCGAAAGTGAAAAAAATTCTGGCGTGCACGCACGTCAAAATTTCAGCTGTCAGCCAAATTTTTCAGTCAGCGTCCTTTTTTCCACGTTCCCCATTCGACATGCTGCTGAGATCATTCGTAGCGCATCAAGGCATTGCAGCACAGCGTGCAAGATTAATGACGTTTCGACCAACAATATACTTGAGCTACAGAGCTTCAGCGTCTTCTGCAGCACAAACAGAACCATCCACTGTGTCGAATCCAGAGCATACCTTCTCCACCATTAATATACGGCAGAGCACAAAGACTTTCTCAGGCAAACGATGGACTGTCTTATCAATACCGAAGGACGGATCAAATGTGACTAAATGGTTCCAAAATGAAAGAAATGGCGATCAACATCTCTCTGTAAAGCAAGCAATCCTTCTCACTCGGGATAATATGCTGTCTACATTCCTCCCTCGGGGGTATCCACACTCAGTAACACCTGAATACAAAGGATTTGCGTACTGGCAAATGTGGCATAATATGGCAGGCTCTGTTACAAGTGGTAAGTCGTCGCTCGAAAGAACAAAACGCCAACGACTCCCCCACAAACACTGACTTCACTTTCTACTTTGGGATAAAAATATAAACAGTTCTATCAATGCAATCCATGCTGTATGCCATTGGACTCGGAGCTGGCTCCATTCCCGTGAGTGATGATGATGATGCAGGCTGTGTCATGCAGAAACATTTACAAAACCTTTCAACATATCTCAGTTGGCGGCTTCCATCAATTGGGTCTTGAAGGACGGTTTAGGGCAGCTGGGAGGAGTATTGTACGCATCTGCAATCAGTGATAAATTCGATTCGGAACCACGGTGGTATCGGTTTAAAGGTACTCTGGTGATGCAAGCCGCCAGTCTTGTTGAGTTGTTTACTCCGTTGTTCCCTGGAGCCTTTTTGGCCTTGGCATCCATCTCCAATATCGGAAAGAATATGGCATGGTTGGCTACCTCAGCTTCAAGGTAAGCTATACGGTTCATGACATCAACCATCATCACGTGCAGATGTGGGGGGTTTCGTTCGGTGAATAAGGCGGAATCCTACAAAAACAGATGATTTGAGGGGGGAAAAGATAGCAGGAGGGGGCAAACAACGATCGCTGCAAAGAACACTTCCTTTGTACTAAACAGATCTTCTTTCGTCATCCATGAACAGAGCACATATTCATCGTACATTTTGTTTGCGAAACAAGTAAGTCCATTTGCGATAAAATTATGAGGTTATTGTATTCAGCCCATGTGGTAACATGCCTTTTGCCAAATTTAGCCTTGGAGATATTACTGGCAAGTCCGGCTCGCAGGCAACGGCTGCAGGTCTTGCAGGAACAGGCATTGGCGTCCTTATTTCAGCTGGGATAACCGTGATGTCTCCTGGATTAGTGGAGTCACAACAATTACTAGCCCCAATGTTCGCGGCATGGTTGCCATTTTCTGCTCTCAGTATCTTTGCCGTCTATCGATCCAATCGCTATGCCGCTAACCGCTCACTTAACAGTGTAAGGGCGGAGATGGTGATTCGCGAATACTTTGAACAAAAAGACCTGTCAACTCCGAGGCAGGTGGCGGAAACAGAAAGTTTCATCCAGCGCAATCCATCACGTTTTAAGATACCTATACGAGTGGAGCCCCTACTGGAAGAGCAAGACGGTGCAGAAGCCTGGAATTCTTTGGACGTGGAATCATTTCTTCGGCGTCGATATGTAGTCATCAGCCATGAAGACTACGTGACCGTGCATTTTGATCAGGAAGCATCCTCTCAAGATATACTGAAAGGCTTTTACCATGCTTGTGTAGCCAGATGGGGTCTAGAGCGACGCCATCAGTACCGGGATATTCAATCCACCGTGGATCGTACCTATTCACCGTTCATTACACAACTAAAGAACATAGGATGGGATGTAGATAGTCAATTTATCACCGATGGCGACAGTAAGCGCATCATGCTGGAAACAAGCCAAACATAGAGCGAAGGTGCGTGTCGTGGACGCACGGAATGAACCAAAAAAGACTTTTTTTTTTTTTTCCCTTCTCTTCCCTACGCCCTAAAATTTTCTTTTTATAATCTTGTCGTTACCAAGCTCGATTGTTTGATAATGGAAAACGTGGTTTGTATCGTTTGAATGCGACCACTTTGTATATATTCTTTCCACTCTATACCTCTTTGCTTCTATCTAATGCAATAAATTTGATGATGTTCTGTTAAAGCATAGCGATTTTTCTAAAACCCATTGTCTATTTCTAGCTTTGCTCCTTGAAAAAAAGAAGCAAGCGTCCCTTGACAAGACTCGCCCACGGAGATGCAAGAGATTCAACCAACGTGTCTTGTCCGATGCCCAGATATCGGTCATGTAAAAAAATAAATTGTCATCAGCATCTGTTATTTATTTTATTTCTTTCTTTTCCTCATCATCTTTTCTTTCTTGTCAGCAGCGCATTTTTGTTCTTATCATCATTTGCTCTTTATTCCTATCGCACTCCTTTTATTCATCAACACACTCCTTCTACATATCACACTGATCCATCGCTCATTTATCCCCATCGACACTCACCCACCATGATATTACATCACTACACGCTCCTTACTATGCTTTTTTATATCAGTAGCGCTATAGCAATGCCTTTCCGAAAAAGAGCCGACGGTAAACATTTTTTGCCCACTAATAAGCCTGGCATATTTGAATGAACCATCATGTTTCTCGAAACAATGAAACTAAAACCGAATAATCATATTTTGCATAGTACCTTCACATTCATCAGACGTCACGTATAATGCTCAAGCTGGAAATACAGTGGGTAGTTCGCCAACAACGGGTGCTGGAATTGGCATCGGAGTCGCGTTCGGAATTATGGGACTCGTCGCATTATGCCTCCAGCTTTACCGACGGCAGCAGCGGAAAAAACGTCAAGCTTGGCTGGCGGATCTTCAATCTCCCGTCACATTTTATCGGCCAAACTCTGAAAGCTATCAAGTTTTCATCGCTGTCAGTGCGTACGAACCATCTTTAAGCGACGAGGTTCCCATTCGTGTGGGTGATAGAATTCATATACACGGCTACTACGATGAAGAATGGGCTTATGGACAAAATGAAACATTGGCAGTGCATGGTATTTACAATCACAGCGTCATGACAAACAGCAACCCGAAAACTGACGTAACCTTTCTTCGTATCTAGGTATCTTCCCTCGATCCTGTGTACGATCAATTAGGGCATCAAAGCTTTCAGTACACCCCGAAATAGCGTCACCACCCACGGCTGCGACTAGAAATGAGAAGATATTGCCCGCTACGCCATCTATCTAGAAACATGTCTAAGTAAATTAGAACTTAGTTATATATACCCCAGCACGCTGTTTGCTTCTTTATACTGCACAAACAATTAATACGAGAATGAAATGTCAGGTGTAAAAGCATTCACGCTGTTTCTCATTGTTAATTTTTTTTTTTGATTTTGATACGGGAGGATAAGGTGCAAAGTCGCTTGTCGACTGGAGCTCACACGCCTACCTTTCCTTATTTGACATGATATTTTCCCCCTTTCGTTGTGGTCTCTCTTCTCTCTCTCTCTCTTTTTCCTATTACTTTCGTGATGAATAGCTCAAAACGTTTACGTTGGGACTGCTCATGTTGCCGCAAAAAGCATGTCTTCCCTCCACCCGGCTTGTCAGATGATAGCCCCGCCACACCCCCGGTACCACCCAACTCCTTAGCTACTGATAACATGGATTTCTTCATAGCAGCCTATGGTCTTTCAAATTTGACCTTAAATGCATCGAATTTACCACCTACCCCCGCTGTGGAGCTTGAGCGACCAGAATTATATTTTGCTTCTTCATCAACTTACTGCTATGTGTCTGCCCGCTTCAACAACTTCACTTGTACTCGTTGTCAGACATACAATGAAATTGCCACGCCACTGGACCAAGACGTCTCGTTTTATGCCATTTGCAGCCAAAAGTGTCTGGAAAGAGCCGTCAATAGTCAAACTTCTCCTATCACCCTTGGCACGACGTTTCGCTGTAAATCATGTAACGCAACACAAATACCGTCTGTACGAGTGATTCCCGTACAGGACCCTAAATCCAAAAGAAGACTGGATTCTCGGCTTAAAGCCAAAGCGTTGAAATTGGAAAACTTGCGTAATGACGGTAAAATATCCTCCAAGGTTCGATTTGATCACGCTTTGATAAAGACAAGACCTGCCCAAAAGGCCGTGCCTGCAGCATAACCAGTCGTTGTACAGTAGAATAATAAAAAAGAAATGATCGTCCTTTGTTTTCATTCCCTTGATGTCCCTAATTGCTTTTGGCCTGTCCCTTCCTTTGCGCGCACATTATCTCTGAAGTAGCAGCTGTCATACGTAGTCAGCTCTCATCTCAATAGCTTTCTCTTTATTAGTCTATCCATTTATGGAAAAGCTCCGCCCGGCCACACCGTCATTCCAACGCCACTGTTCATGATGGTAGGATGGTTATTATCAAATATACAAGGGTAAAGCATGATGTAAACTAACGAAAACGAGGTTACGCAGATTTTTTCTATTGTAATTTATTTTATGCGACTTCCATACACAACATGTCCATCTAATTTCTGTGAACGTGTGAATTTCAGCAGCAGCGCGTCCAATTTCTTCTTGTCCGGAGCGAGGTCTTCAATAAATGGCAACATGTCCTCGGGGGCCCACTGTTTTTGTTCAAGGAACAGATGTGAAAATCGGCCAGCCGGGTCGGCAGGGAGTTCGGACAGAGGGAAATATGAGATGAGCCAATTACTCAAGGACTCGCCAGATGACCTCGACTTTGGTGTTTTGATATACAAGCCCTAAATAACAAACAAAAACAGCTTTAGCGCACAGCCCTCTCTTGAGAAATATTTACGATAAATATTTTACCCTCAGCATTTCCAATTTTGCTTCAAAAGGATGTGGAGTTCGTTTCTGCCATAGTTCCAAAAACTCGTCGAGTTGCCATTGTTTTCCACGCTCAGCCACTAGTAGCCGCTCGCCTAGCAGCCGACAAAGCTTAGTTTCGTTAAAGGAATATGTCCCATCCGCAGCCGATTGTTCATCACTGACAGACTCTAGGCATTTTGTCAAAACATCCTCATCCAACGCATTTAGCTCAAACTCCTCCATCAAATATTGTCTACATTGATCGACTGATATTCGTGTCAACTCCATGTCATGTATTTCAGCAGAGGTTATCACTGCATCGATGATACGATGAAGGTACCTTGGATGTATAAAGCGGTAATATCCTATGATGCGCAAATGTGTGAATGGATGATTTACCCTATTGATGTCAAGATTGCCACTCACCATCAATAACAACCGCATGCCGCCTATTCAATTCCTGTTGTAGTTCTTGTTCGCTGGCTTGTATTAGGGAAAGAAGATTATCGTATGTATATAGTTGGCCCTAACGCACGAAAATGAGAATTGTTGTAATGAAACACAGTTGACAATATCTGCATTCACATTTACCTTTGCTTGCACAGTACTTTCGTTTTCTGGACCAGTGTACATGGTAGGATTTAAAATGGTGTCGATTTTTTCGATTCTAGGCAAACACGGTAAAAGTTCGATGGTCGAGAACTGGGTGTCTTTGATGTTATATACAGGAAGTGTGTCGTCTAGGGATTGACTTGCGAGAAGAAGAGAATTAGACAAATTGACCTGGCGAACAGAATAGGTTTTCTTGTTAGTGCATAGGACAGCTTCTTCGTCCGTTGCGCCTTTAATATATAGACTACACGATGGATGGTATCAGCAAGGGTTGACAAAAGCGAAATGTTACAGTGAACACGAGAATGGCTTACGGTGAACTATTTGTCGTCAATTCCTCTAATAGGTCGGGTGAAAGTTCCAGTAGCTTGAGTGAATTTGACTCGTAGTCATTTGAAAACTTCAGGGCAGAATGCTTCGAGCTCATTTTCCTACATAACCAGGCAGAATACGCACTTTCAGTCGCGTCCCTCCTTCCATACTAATGCAATCACAGTCACTTTTACACTTTCCTCTCATTTTTTTCGCGATTCCACCCAAAAGCCACAAATTTCTTTCAACCTGTCTAACAGATTTACGTACAACACTAGGTACGCAATAAAGCGATTTTTACTTTTATTCATTAGGCACTATCGTCCACAAACTCTTAGTATTTGGTATAAAGTGCTTCCCATGAAGCGGAATGCTGCCATTAAAGCAACGGTCCATAGTATAAAGGAGGTATAGGCTGTTCCAAGCGAACCTGGATTAGTGTGTAAAAGCGATTCAAAGTCGCTTTGGGTGAATACAGCCACCAGGCAGGCATTGCATGCAATCCAAGTGAGAACAAGTCGAGTACGGAACCCGCGGTAGTAGTCATCTTGCTTCGTTTTGGCCGTACGACTCTATAAAGGATATGTCAGCATCAGAGGTTGTAGTAGGGAAAAAAGAAGCACTGCTTGTTTTCAATAACGCACCTGTTTCTGAAATGCTGGTTTGTTCTGAAGCTTCCATATTGCCTCTTCATATGCAGCATCAATATCAACAGCTTCTGTGTACATTTCCAATTCTACCGTTTGTTTCCCCTCTTTGTTGCTAGTTGTCTTGGCTACGCCGAGATCCGTCTGTAGAGTGTTATCTCCTTTGGTTCCCCAAGAGACATCGTGGGTATTGCAAAATGCATAGCAATTAAGGACATTAACATATGATGGCATCAACAGCATGTATTGGATGAAACTTGTGATGAGATGCCAAGGTTCCATATAGAGGATGCTGCTAATGATATAGAGTCCATATGTCGACAACAAGGACACCACAAAGGTGCCGAAACCGGGAGTTTCTACTAGCAAACGGAATCTTGTGCTGTTATCCATTGTAGACCAGTGTCCAGACGAAAACGCTGTGCTAATACTTTGGATTGAAAGCCAAGTTCCAGCAAATAGCATGTATATCATGATAATTGAGAAAGCAAGAACTGAAAATATGAACATCCATCTTGATCTATATGAAAAACACTTTTTTCAGACCTAGCACGGTAGATGTTATCCCACATATATCCAGTTAACTTACCCTTGTGGCCTGTTGCCCATGGAGCAAATGAAAGAGGATATCAGGAGGAAAATGTATAAATAATGCAGTGCTTGAAATATGTGTCTGCCCCAGTTGTTACCAAATGGGTCGATTTCAGGACTTGCCAGTGATTTCGAAACAAAGTAGAATGTGAGGTAAAAATTGCCCTACAGAAATGGAGTGAGTTAATAAGAGTGATCTTTGCTTGAATTGCAAAGTTTGTCAAAAGTCTCACGATTGCAAACCAGCTGAATGCCAAGCTGATGAAGTTGTACACAAACTCAACAGATAGAGCAACTTTTCGTAATGCAGTATGATCCGTTCCCCAGATCTGAGGAAAATGCCAAAGTGAATACACAGCCGCGAAAAAGCTTCCATTGAGCCATCGTCGTCTTTGTGAGATAAGTTCTGCTAGTTGGTCAGGACAGTCGGTCTCTCCAAACGCTGATTTGACATATCGTAATAGCCATCGTTGGTGCTTTCTGGCTACTAATTCGAAACAGAGTATACGATCTTCTGCCAGATACATGTTGGCTGTAAATATATCAGAGTTTCCATCTTGTTGCGTCTCTCCCATAAAGTACTTCTGAAGTGGGCCTGCAAAGAAAAGTAATTAGCTTGGTTGAAGTAGTGCACAACCAAACTACACTCACTAGCTCCATACCTTGTCCGTTGACATCATTCTGTAAGGCAGCATAACGATATGCAGAAAAGGCTCCGGGAAGCACACTGATATAACCAAAAACTGATTCCAAAGGTTTATCCAAGATATTTGACATCTTGTATTCAAAATTCTGGCAGGCCACCAGGGGATTCAGTAGATTTACACCAAAAGGGCCAGTCATTGTGCATATTTCTCCGCAAGCTCCTCCTACTTTCTTGTCGTTGTCGAATGCTTTCCACAAATGATAGATAGAGGTGTTTCCTGGTCGGGTTCCAACGTCAAGTAAAACGCAAACATTGGGTTGAAGAACAGATCCGAAGGCGTTGAAGAACCAACGGTGTGAATTGATCTTTTTGGCATTATTTTCTTTCAAACAAAACAGAACTTGCACCGGGACAACTCCCTTGTCTGCACCTTTAATCCGAAGCCCAGGGTCCATTGATATTTGTGTAGTGTACTAAAATCATATATACAATTTCATAAGCATCCTGTTTTTCAACCTTATCCATTCACATAGATTAATTACCTCATACAAATGTGCTTGTACTGGCCTGTCGTTTACCACGTTCTTGGCAACACCCTCTTGGTATACACCCAAGCACTCGAGAACATTGAGCACGCGAGGATCGCATTTTTTTCTTCCGTCGGCGACAATGCATACTACAACCTTCTTCCAGCCTTCTCCATCCCATGTTTTTGATCTTGGTCTAGAACATAGATGTGCCACGTTTTTCATGACTCCATGTAGCGTTCTGCAGAATAAAACTTCATCTTCCTAGACGACCAAATAATTTTCGATTTAATTCGTGTCATGCATAGTGTATTCTTTGAATCTCCACGACAGAAATCAAGGTACTCACATTGTACATGGTCATACATATGAATAACTCTGTCTGCCTGCCTTGGAGCCTTGGTCGCAATGTAAATTGGCAATCGGAAAAGTCGTCTGGGTCGCACGTAACAGCAGAGTATCGCATATGGCTGAATTCAAAATCTTTGCGAGCGCTTGTTTCTACCAACGTTGATGGGACTGGACAATCTAGTACCAAGTTTCCTTTTACCAGCTCAACCTCACGTACTGTTCGTTGTCGCTTCAAGCCCATGCCGCAGCTGGGTAGAAAATTTTTAGGGAATATGGAAGACAGATTAAAGCTCACAGGCAGGACACTGGATAGCCCTGATGGGGGTTTCGGTATATGTGAATGAGTTGGAGTCGGCATACTTGATCGATACGGGTCCTCTTCATGGTGTACAGGATGCTGACGACAGCACGGGGCCGGGCTTTGGGCGACGACTGATCTAATGGATGGTGAATGTATGGCGTGTGCTCGCGGATAATATGACGGAGAATGCGGATAGGCGTATTCACTCTGTAGTAACATCATCTGCTGCTGATCGATGAAGGTCGATTCATGGGCATTTTCCATAGAAGTTCTGTCATCCGATCGTGAGCCACGATAGCTCGCGTGAGGTGAATTATGCTGTCGATAGGGAGAGTCCATTGGGCTCCCGCAAGATAAAAAGATTTTAGGTCTCTATGATGTAGGCAAATTTATAGACATGGTTATATATGTCATCTCCCAAGGGCTATTTTTTTTTGTTCTTGTCGCTGGCTTTCCAATTTCACCAAGGGCGTTCCCTTTGAATTTTCAACGTCTCAAGCGAGCGAAAGCACTTGAGCATCGGGGACATTGAAAAATAGCTTCATCTGAAGTACCGGTTATCAAATCAATTCATGCCATGAAATTGCCTTCCCAAGTTTGCTTTTTCTATCTGGAAGAAAACGCAATGAATGAATAGTTATTTGTATTGAAGCTCAACATCAAAATTCCGTATTTATGGACCCGCCAAAACACGGTGTATATAGCACTTCATCGATACTTTTAAATCTACCATGTTAAAGCCGAAATACAGCTTAGTAACTATCAGAGAGTCATCCTTGTCTGGGGCTGAAATGGTATTGAGAAAGTCATGATTACCAATGCTGGATAACAAGCGGCGGCTCATTGAATAGGCACTGCTGAAAAGTAGCAGTCACCCACCCGTGCGATTAACTAACGGCCGTTCAACTTTGTGCATAGCCTTCTCGTCATTACAACTTCCAATCACTCACAGTCATGTCAATGAAAGCCATTCAAGTCAAGTCTCCCGGTACTTTGATAGCCTATGTTTGGAATGTATCACCACTGAGGCATGTACTCTGACCAAAACTATCTCTTACAGGTGCTGCAACCGATTTATATATTGGAGACTATCCTAAGCCCTCAGCTGGAGATAGTCAGATCCTTGTCAAGGTAAGATTCCACGAGACTTTCATGTATCCTGCCTACGTACAAAAAGCGCGATATTGGCAATCGTTTTTTTAACTCATGATGGCTTTCGCGGGTTTAGGTCAAGGCGTTTGCCCTCAATCGAATGGATCTTCTCCAACGAAAAGGACTGTATCCTCCTCCCAAGGGCGCCAGCAACATTATGGGTGTTGAGGTCTCTGGAATCGTAGAAGAAGTTGGGCAAAACGGTAGGTTACAATGGATCTGGCAGCGAACGCCGACGGGATGCAGCAAAATCAACTCCGCTTACAGACTGACTAATCCACTTGTTACTCCAACGATGTTCACTAGTCAAAGGATTCAAAGTAGGCGACGCCGTCTTCGGACTCCTTAGTGGTGGAGGTTATGCAGAGGTACATTGGTGATCAATACGTTAGACTCAAAGATATTGGGATGAATATGTCGTTAATTTTGCTTGTCCACCAGTACGCGACCATTGAGCAAGAACTTGCCATGCATAAGCCTGACAACTTGTCTTTTGAGGAAGCTGCTGCTATTCCCGAGACTTGGTTCACTGCCTACCAAGGATTGTTTTTTGTGGCCGGTTTCAAGAAAGGTGATGATGTTTTGATTCATGCTGGTGCCTCTGGCGTTGGTATCGCAGCCATTCAGATCGCAAAGCTATTTGGAGCGTAAGTTTATCATTCGTCTGCGCTATTCGTTGAACCCGCACTATAGTTAATATATGTTTACTCTAGAAACAAGATCTTCGTTACTGTTGGTTCAGATGATAAGGTCAGCTTCTGCGAAAAAGTGGGAGCCACCAAGGGTTTTAACTACAAGACGGGCGACTGGGCCAAACAGGTACGGCGTAACGCCATGTGCTCAATTCAAATCAGACTTAGGACTCACCCTTTACCTAACAGCTCTCAGAAGCCACTAATGGTCAAGGCGTCAACGTTATCATTGACCCCATTGGTAAAAACTACTTTGCTCAAAATTTAGACAGCCTGGCTGTCGATGGCCACATGGTCATCATAGCTTTCATGAGTGGTAAGTTCACGTCTACTACTTTTTTAGGCATATATATCGATTGCTTAATTTTGTACTTTCAATCAGGCAACATTGTCGACAAGGTGGATCTCGGTCCAATGCTGAGAAAGAGACTCAGAGTAAGAAGGCTGTCTCATGTTGACCTTATAAAAAATCTCTGTCCGTTTGTACTGATCTCGCCTTTCCCATGCACTTTAGATTGAAGGATCAGCCCTTCGTAGTCGATCGCTAGAATACCAAGCCCGTCTACGTGATGAAATTGAGCAGCATTTGGTGCGAGAACATTTCGCTAAGCCTGATCATGATCATCTACGCATCTTTATCGACAAGGTGTATAACTGGAACGATGTCATCGAAAGTCACAAATATCTCGAAAGCGATCAATCCATGGGCAAGATCGTACTCAAAATCGAATAAGCATAGGTGATGTTGTGTGCAATAAACAGTGTTATTGAAAATTTTCTTTTTATTGTTCGTGCTCCTAATTGAAACAAAAAGAGAGTCGCTTATTTCTCCTGCAACAACGATGAAAGTTAGTGTGTTAGAACTGAACGAGCTGGTGGGCAATGTGTTTTTTTCCACTTACGGGGACTTCGACTTCACCGGCATCGATGGCATCACCAAGATCCTTGGGGTTTTGACCATCGACAGTGCAGCCAACGGAGAAAGCAGTACCAAGGATTTCCTTGACAGTACCCTTAAGCTCACGAGCGAGGGACTTGTAGCGCATGGTACGGGCGATCTCAATAACGTCATCGAGAGAGATGTTACCAGAGTGCTTGACGTTCTTCTCCTTCTTGCGGTCACGCGGGGGCTCCTTAAGAGCTCTGATGACCAAGGAAGAGGCGGAGGGAACAACGGAAACCTGAGCCTGACGGTTCTGAATGGTCAACTGAACGGTGACACGGAGACCCTTCCAGTCAGCAGTACCCTTGGCAATGTCTTCTCCGACCTTCTTGGGGGAGAGACCGAGGGGACCGATCTTGGGAGCGAGGGCACTGGAAGCACCGACCTAATGATAAGAATGAGTTGGAATGCGTTGATTCTAGGTCGATTGAATGTTAAATTGAGTTACGTACTTCACCACCGGTGGCACGGAGAGTGATGATCTTGATTTCGGTGGGGTCAACCTTAGGTGGCATCTAATGGATGGTTGCGAGTCAATATGGCGGTATACATGGATGGATGCATGGATGGATGGCAATATACCTTGGTGGATTGAAAAAGGAGGATCTACGCATTTGCCGACTTGGCCCATAGCAAAACCCTTTTTGGAATTCAAACTCCGTCTAGCACTTTGGCTGAAGGACACCATGTCCGCACACAATTCATTAAACTGATCTTTTTACTAAAAAAAATAAAATAAAAAAGCGGTTGCAGTATTTAAAGTAGTTCAGAGTTGTGAGGCCGTAACCAAAATGGATTAGGCGCAATAGGAATGGATGGTTTCATACTGCTGTTTTAAGTTGTTTGGTGACCATGCTGGTTTTCGATATGATCAAATGAGAAAGAGATACGTGGTAAGTTAAGTTATTGTGATTTGAGACATCTGCACACCCTCTAATTTATTCTTTGGATATATATCATATGTAAAAGTAAATAGAGACAAAAAATATATGGAGGCCCATTCTTTGTCTTTGTTTGAAAGCGTAAACATGGCCAGACGATGTAGCTCGATGGACGTTGGAAAAAAAAAAAGAAGTGCTCTAGAACGCGCCTCGTAACAACTGCCTATGGCAAAGGTAAAACCTTACTCGTGACCCTAAACATATGCCGCCCCCAAGTTTCGCTTCCATACAGGATAATTTATTATAGCGTGTTCAACGCAGCATCGAGGCTTCCATGGCTAACGCCACGAGTCAATCTTTCACTGGATCGCTTGGCATTAGGCAATGGTGTGCCACTGATAATGGTCACAGGGCTATTACTTCGAGATGGACTAGAAGGCGCGTTAGACGATCGGGGACTTTGGGAAGGGGTGTTGGAAACACTGTTAAGCATTTGATGTTGATGTGTATAGTCCAGAAGCTCGGCCTGCGAGAGTCGGACAGACAGCCTTTGACCAGACGGCGATCCAGGGCTCTTATGATTTTGGGGACTCATAGACCTTATTGAATGTATCGACCGGATCGACGCGGGGCGAGAAGGAGGTCGGGGTTGCTGTGACAAGTGGTGGTTGGCAAGGAATTGTTCTAGGAAATCCACAATTAAGGGTTCCTTCATAGCAGATAGTTTATACTCGTGTAGTGACTTTATGAATAGGTTTGTTAGAAAAGAGGTTTCGATTACGGTTTGATTCAGAGTCGTTTATCCTCACCAGCTTTCCGTCACCATTGACATCAACATCCTCAAACATCCTAGTGATTAGTTCTCGTATTTCGTTTGTTTGATCTTCGTTTGAGAAAGTAAGTGACTTAGGGGAATGAGGCGTTAAAATAAGGGCATAGCTGCAAAAGATGGAATAGGGTAAGGCGGACAGTTGGCTTACCAGTTGAGTCATGACTCGTTCAAGCTCGGCTTGTGTGAGATAGCCATCATGGTCCATATCATATAACTTAAATGACACTGCCAAAACATAAGGAATTGAGTTGAATGGAACATAGGCATTGAGACGAAAAGAGACGCATACATTCAAGCTTTTCTTCGGGTGTTCCTTTCATGAAAACGCTGAGTCCGTCAACAAATTCACTAAGGGAAGCGGACATTTTGATCGGTTAGACCGAGTTGGTGATTCATGTTTCCCAAGCTATAGCGCTACATACCGAAAGTCAATCTGCTTGGTGTTGTCTACATCAAATGCTGCGTATAAGCGGTTCAAGAAAACATCATCTTCAGGTGATACATGCGGCACATATTTTCGGACGGTCTATGGAAAATCATGCGTCGGGGTAACAACGGTTAGCCAAGCCAAGGTTTATTGATATAAGAGATAGGACATGGGGGTAGACACAAACCTCTTTAAACTCGTCTTCGCTGATTCCAGGTTTGTCGACGTCTGCATGCGCCTTTTCAAAGTCCTGCCGAAAGTGATTGATTTCCTTTGCCGAAACTGAAGATTGAATGACAAGCAAAGTCAGCAAAATGTCAGCAAAGCATAAAAACCTTACAAGACAAGGGATAATTACAATGAGTGGATCGAGCCAGCTGTTGATTTTCTTTACTCTTTGCTTGGCCCATTGTGGAATAGGGCTGGTTGGTTACTGCGGGATGATGTGCGTGGTGGGGGACCGATAAAAAACAATGAAAGGCTGGATTAAAGGTGGACGTTCGGAGAGGGTTTTTCGTGGGTCAAGAGAACTTCAAATCGTGTTTGAGCCTGATTTGCAGGTACCTTATTTTTATCACTGAAATCTTGCAACCAACGAAGTACTTTGGAACCGTCATAAATAGCCCCAGTCGGGTTTTCCTCTCTTCTCTCAACACCTTAGCTCTTTCAATTAGACACCAAATGCTGTCGTCGACTGTCATTTTCAGAACCAACACCAATTCTGCCATTATGTCTGAGGAGGAAGAGCTCAACCGGCAAAAATTGGCGCTGGCAAGAAAGAAGCGCTTTTGGCTAGAGCGAGATTCTCTCAATCGTAGAAATCAATTGCTTATCGGTAGAGAAGGCAGTAGAAGGCGACAACGATGGGACAATAGTAAGCTAATGAGAGAATAATTGGATAAACATTATCTAGTAGGGCCTCATTGCTCAATATGTCCCACATGGAACAATTGCTTTGCCTTTGCTAGATAACTTTACCGATCATCCCTTCGCCGCCATCAACCCTGCCGATTTGCGGCCACCGGGTTACGCTGACCTACCCAAATTTCACTGGGCAGACGATGAAGCCATTGCTAATATCACTTCAGATGACATTGACCGAATGTGTCGGTCCCAAGACTTGAAATCTACTGCTAGCCACGCTGATTATCCTTTGCACCGAAGCATCCGCCAAGATCTGAAAAAGTCCCACATTCCTGAAGGGCTTGTTGCGTTTTACGATGAGCAGATTAGACAGTTTATGCAGCGTTCTATTGTAAAGGATACGGACTCTCTGGAGCAAGATTGGGTTATCGTGGATGAAACGGCAAAGCAACAACCGTCGGAACCGACTGCGCCGCCACCCACAGAGATGCCGCTGCCAACCGAAACGTCTGTGTTCTTAGTCTGGGAGATTGGTGACCGATTCTCCCGCTGGATTATCCACACTATGTCACAATTTTATAACCTTTCTTCGTTCAGTGAGTAGTGTTTTCCTCCGTTTCTCTCACATTCATCCCACGTGGACAACCTAACTGGCTATGTTTTGGCAGGTACTACCACAAAAGACCAACGAAGACTTACCTATGTGTGCCATCCCGAGCACGCTGAGCACCTTTCAAAATTTACTTCTGAGGACGCAATGGATGTAGACCCATCATCCCTGCCGCCTCCTACACTAACTACTACCCCGGAAAAATCTTTCTATAGTTATCTGTTCAGGTGACCTGACTGTTTGGCACCGAGAGGCTATTGAGCGCAGCCTTGCCTCACTTCATTTTGGTTTTTTTTTTCTTGTTCAGCTGCTTGCACACTCTCTGGTATTCTGACTTTAGTTTGATTTTAATGGAAGTGCTACTAAAAGCAAAAAAGGCAATGACCAAGGGTGTTCCTTTCTCTCGTTTATACAATTACACGAATGTGATTTAACACAATACATCTGCTCATTATTTTGATGCCCACGAGGACGAGAGCAATTTTTGCGAATTATTCACCGGAAGATGTCGGTGTTACGGAAACTTGAATGATCGTTTAAAGAGTCATTGTGGGTTTTGTATTCCATGATGGTATCTGCTGGCAAGTTCAGGACCTTCTTCATAGTATCCCTGTAATGACCCATTGAGTTTAGATGTAGTCACATTGTATCACAACTTTGGAACAATAAAACCGTACCTGATCTTCAAATTGGTTCGACCCTCATGTGCACTTTGATTCCACACTGAAAGAATATCTTCTGAATTGCGAATGGACAAAACAGCACCACATATCTCTTGACCAACATCAAATTGATCGCCAATGATAGCCATAACCTACAGATGAGAGATGGATTTAGTTCGTGGGATCAAGTGGATGCGGCTGGCTATGAAACACAGGATCTCCCATTTACCAGTGACTCCCAATAGCGACTTGCCAACCCCTTCTTCAATCGAACAATCCACTTTCCACCATTTACATTCATTGTATCCTGTGAAACCAAAGGTTAATGCCAATTATATGGGCAAATCGCACAAGATGAGCCATATCCGTACCTCCCATACAGGTCTGACGCCTTGCTTGAACAAGTGATAGTCGCTGATATTTGGCAAATCTTTTGGTCGTTTAAGATGACTGTAAACCGCCCAGTAATCTTCTATCTATTTCGGGTAAAGTGGAGTTTAGTAATGGAAGGAAATGGTAGCGAGTGAAATAGTGTGCCTTTGAACTTACTGAGGAAACAGATGCTATCTTCTTCATGCCACTCTCGTAGTTTGTAATCTTTGCACCTGGTGGGCGATGCATAAACCAAAACACCCAAGTATAATGTAATGGATGCTTTTGATCTTCGGGAATCTGTTGATCCAGCAACTTTACGGTCAAGGTTTCTGCTGGAGACTTGCCGAGTTTTGAAGAGAGATGGTGGGTGGTGGTGGATGAAGCAAAGAGTGGAGTCATAGGTGATAGACTAATGTTGGCATTAGGGCGCTTTGATGAAGCAGAATTGTAGTTGTCTATCAGTTGACTAATGAAAGGGTTGAGTGACAGGTCAGTATTTGTGAGCGATCAAGGCAAGAACTGCAAAAAACAACCGAGAAATCAGAATGAAAGGTTACTTTGGTATTTTAGATGACGACCAAGCGGCGGATTGTGCAGTATCCATTATACAGTAATATAAGAGTGAATGAGGGAACCGATCAGATTAGCGGGTTTTCTTTGTTGACTTTGTGTGAGAAATTGCGGCCAAGTCACTTTTTCTCCCAACAATTTTCATGAAAATTTCCAGCGCCTCTTTTTTTTTT